GGCTTTAGGGGTTTAGGGTTAGGGTTTAGGGCTTAAGGGGTTTGGGGCTTGAGGGGTTTAGGGCTTCGGGTTTAGGGTTTAGGGCTTTAGGGGTTTAAGGCTTAAGGGGTTTAAGCGCGCTTAGGGTTTTGGGGCACTTTCGATCCACGTGGAGGTTCATTATAAGTGGGGTTATAGTATCCACACATCCGGGCTAGAAGTACAGTTACCCTCACTTACAACTACCCTTTATACTCCAAGTAGAAATTTCGGTAGATGGCAAATGCTGTGGAGTGCTAACAAGCCAACGATCGCCAGCAGTTAGGTACTAGAGATCAGGATTATAACCCTAAACCCTAAACCCTAAACCCTAAACCCTAAACCCTAAACCCATTATGGCTTACCATGGCTTATTCCAAACTCAGGCCCTCCACCTCTAGATCCTCACGTGACATCCAAGTTCCACATGTCCTTCACTTCATCCACGCAGCCTTTGCCTTGCTAAAGAACCAGGAAGTACGGGCGAGAACTCGTAGAAGTGATGCGTAGGTTACTCTCAGCTGGTGTAGGCATACTGCCACGTGCAATCTACTTACTACGCCCCCTGCGTACCTTTCGCCCCAAGCTTATACTGTAGGGTAAACCCATCAGCTAGTGTTAGTATACTTGAAACCCATCAGTGAGTATTTGACTCATACCCTAAACCCTAAACCCTAAACCCCTAAATCCCTAAACCCTTACAAGCCCCAAAGGCAACACGCAGTCGTTGCCGCCGCACTTCCGCAGCGTGCCTTCGCAGTCTCGCCCTGGACAGGCGGCCCCTGCACTCCGAGCCCTCGAGCCCCTCAAGACCCGTTATGTCTCGTGTCTGTTTTTACTTAAAATCGGTTTAGGGTTTAGGGTTTAGGGTTTAGGGTTTAGGGTTTAAGTTTAGGGTTTACATGTTACATTCAAGTAAAAACTTGACCTCTTCATGCCTCGTCTGGACGAGCTTTAAACGTTCTGAGCTCATATGCAATCTGGTATGTTGAACTGTTCTTGTGACGTTGATCCGTAAGCCAAGACCTTTGCTTCCTATTGGGTATTTGGAAAATAAGGAGCCCTCAAGAGCCCCTAGTGGGCGCCGTGTTGGGTTTCCGAATTCCTGCTTCTCTCCTGGATGTTTCAAGGATTGCAACAGCGGTTTTAGGGTTTAGGGTTTTGGGTTTAGGGTTTAGGGTTTAGGGAGCCACACTTCATGCGTCACAGAATCCTGCTTGAATAAATACCGTCGCGGTGTCAATGTCGAAATCGCCCTGTAGTTACGGTGTAGAAGCAACCCTCAGAAGACCATGCAAACCTTATGGAGCCTCTCAAGCAGCTCTAACAATTTCTGTGTTTGGGTATTCGAGATTGGAGTCGAGAGGGTGGTTCCCAAGATGCTCTTTCCGCAGCTGGTACGTATATACGTAGGTAGGCAGTAGGTATGTATGCGTTCATATTGTGAACGTATGAATGTAGGATTGTATGTATCTTTGTGTATCTGTGTCTGTATAAACATATGAACATATGAACGTATGTATGTAGTTAGGCAGGTATTTATGCATGAGTGTGTGTGTGTGTGGGTGTGCGTACCTCTGTATGTATGTGCGCGTGATATATATATATATATATGTATAATTATAGACTATAGATATGTATATGTGTATGCATATGAGCCCTCCGCAAATCATACTTACCAAGACTATTTAAATAGAATCGGCAGCTGGTCCATCTGAGGTGTGCAGGGTCAATCAGGCATTATGGGAGCTTACAGAGTAGAATGGAATCACCCTAAACCCTAAACCCTAAACCCATCAACCGAAGCACTTATGCTTCATGACTGCGTTTCAAGGCTGGGCCTTCCTCGACTTCCAAGCCCAAGCATGAAACGCCCTGAGAAAGAGCTCTAGCCCTAGCTATGTCTGGCAGGAGTCTTTGGGCGCCCTTGTTGCAGCTGTTACGCTCCTGGTGTGCGTTGGCTACCCTTTGAAAGTATTCCCTGAACCCGACCCGAATACCAGTACCGGTAGCCCTCGCCCGAAACCCCGAGATCCACAGTTTTCGGTTCAGAGTCATCTTGCGGCCTTAAAATGGGAGCTGGGATTAGGGGGACCCTTGGGGATATAGACCCTCTCAATAAGGTCCCCTTTAAGAGAGCCAAAAGTAGGGTTCAGAAGGGGTACCATCTAAGGGGTACCCCTAATACTACTACGAAAGGCTCCTCCAATTTGAATCTCTCTGGCCTCATGTTCTCCTAACCCTAAGGGTCCATGTGCTCATATAGTATATACATTGGCCTTAATATAGTCCCTAAATAGGTACTTTAGGGCCCATGTATATGCTATATGAATACATGGACCCTAATGGTAACTGATTTGCATTCTTGCCTTCAACCCCCCAGCCCTGTCTGTGGAAGGTCTCCTACCTAGACAGCGCTCACAACTGCCGCTACTCCACACCAGAATCCGCCTGGCCCCTTGCCCAGCACCAGAGAGTTCAAGGTTTAAAGTTCAGGGTTTAAGGTTAAGGTTTAAGGTCTACGGTCTAAGGTTTAGGGTTTGGGGTTAATCAAGGGGTTAGGGTTTCGTTCGGCAGCACCAGTCCTCCTACAGCCAGCCTTCGAACTGTCGTTTGAGAATGATCTCAAAACCCCTACTTGCACCCCTCTAAGCATCATGTGATGTCTTCAAATTGTGTAAAATAGTCCGAAATACCCGAAACTCAAGCCCTGGTGTTTGGCTTGAAAAGTTTAACACCTGCTGTCCCCTTGGGGTATTGGGCACGAGGTCCAGGGGTTCGTTGTTGGGACTTCGTAGTGTTTTCTTTTGTGGGAGTTTCCGAAAATTGGGGTACCTTATTTTGGGGCCCTTATAATAAGGATCCTACTATTTAGGGTACTATATTAGGGTCCCCTATTTTGGGAAACCCCCTTGTTGGAATCGCTATCAACTCGTTGTAAAGTAGTGTGGGTCTTGTCCTGCAGTGGAGGCCCGTGATGTCTGTGTTTGATATATGCCGTTGAGCCTGTATGGCCGGATGAGTCTGAAGCACGGCGGGGCTCTGCAGTTTTGTGCTTATTCAGAGCCCCTTGGGTGAGTTGCTGTTGTTTGTTGGTGCTGTGATGCCAGAGTTGCGGCAACGTCTTTGGAGTATCTTTTTGGCCTGTCTTCGGATTTACGGGTTCATGGGTCGTGTGGCTTCGGTTGATTGGTAAGGGCCAGCTCGCAATCGAAACACATAAAGCCAAGTCCCCCAGTGGTGCCTCTTACGCTCTTTTGAAGTTCCGGATCTCCCCTTCCAAAGCTGAATGAGGGTTTAGGGTTTAGGGGGTGGGTGGATCTGTAGAGGCGGGGGATCTTCGGAGCCTTCGACGTCGCTGCACTCTGGAGCTGACCCCCTTGGAGCTGACTTTTTGCCTCCAGGCGACAGCACTTCCAAGACTTGCTGGCCAAGTGGCAGGCCTCAGGCGCCCGCGATTCTGTGCCACGCTGACCTGAGTTTTATTGACAGCCATGTAGCCATGCAGTTCAGTCCTAGTCCTAACCTAGGCTTTGAGGGGAGTCCTGTCAAACTGCAAAGCCCTAAACTCTTCAGCCGCAACCTTGAGTTTCACGCGGACAGCTCGAATACCTTGCCTGTCAGGTGAGAAGCTGTGGAACGGTTGATGAGCACATTTCGATTCCGACCCGCCGGTGGGCACTCTCGACTCGAGCACCGGCGCAGAAAACGGAGTGCCTTTAGCTGAGATTCGGATGCTGAGGTACTGCTGGGGGTTAGGGGTAGTGAGGATTTGAGGTAAAGAAAGCCGCTATTTGTGTACTTGGACTCTCTGGGGGGTCCTCTTAACAAGAACGCTGGACTGCAGCCTACATTGCAGGGTCCAGATACATAGATAGTTACACATACCAGATTGCTTGCTCCGTCACCTCATCCTGGTGCGGAATATGCGTGGTTTGACCCTTCTTTGGCTGGCCTGCTCTGCTCATTTTCAAGCAGAGTCGAGACATGGGATCCTGCAAAAACCCAAAGCCCCCAAAGACCTACTTTTTTATAGGGTCCCTATAAATCCCATATTAGGGTTTATAATAAGAACCTACCTAAATTTAACGAAGACCTCAGCCCGAGACATCAAGGCCTGATTCTTAAGTCCAAAGGGCCGTGAAGCCAGGAAGTGCTATCGAAACCTAACATCAAAACCAACTCGGATGCTTACCCTTTGAACCACAACAGATTTGAGTATGTGCATTTTGGCTCCTCATGTGTATGTTTGTTAGTTACTTGGAGTCTATCTCCGGACGTTCCGGATCAGCCGAAGGCAGACATCTCGGCTCAGTTTTCCCACCTTTCGGCATCGCACAGGTGTCGCGAGACTTGCAACACTGCACGACCCTGAGCTTCTCTCCGTGCATTGAGTGCTGGATTAGGGTTTAGGGTTTAGGGTTTAGGGTTTAGGGAAGCATGGACCTTTCGTATCGCCAACAGCTTGTGTCATTCCTGAGGTGGTACCGGTAATGATGATGACCATCATCATGATGCTACTAAGCCAGTCTTGCGGATTGCTAGTCGTCCACGCAATCAGAGTCGTAGTTGCATCCTCTGAGTAGGAGTCGTTTTCACAGCAGAAAAACTCCCTCAAAACACGCAGTGCGCTTTCAGGAAGGGAAAGATGGACGCGGCCGCAAGTGGATGCCAAAGAAGCCACAAGCAAAGCAGGGGCTTGAGAGTTTCGATTCTAAGAGGGGTTCGGTCCACCCTAAACATGCTCAGTTGATGTTACAGCACTAACTGCTGCAGTTGTCCGACGTCTGTTTGCAGGATCAGGAGACTTGGAAGAAACAGATCTGACCTGACTTACAGTGCCTACTACCCACCTTAAGGCCCATTTGCAACCCCAAGCCCTGTTGCAATCCCGCAGCATTGAAAATCCGTGACTTCAGAGAATCTCGGCTCAGCGTTCGCTGTTTTATTCCTCCATCTGGCTTGTAGGAGCCCCTATAGACATGGAGAGATCCGACGACAGCGACAGTGAGCAGAGCATGTCGACGGCGGCGGCGACACTACGGCACCTGGAGTATGCGGTCATGACTTTGGGTCACATGAACGAGCAGATGACAGACTTTCGTGGTATAAAGGCCTCCCTCGCAAGGATTGAGAAGAGCCTCCGGACCATACCGCCCGACTCCGGCAGTCGGTTTCGCAGACCTTCGGATGCGTCCCTGACGTCAAGGACGTCTGCAGCCAGAGACGGCGAAGCGATGCAAACCCCGAAGGTGGAATCGGAACTACATTCTTCCATCTATGGACTTGAAGCGGTTAGGGCCGAGGAGCTATGCAGCAGCAAGCGAAGAGGCACGAAGAGGTCCACTCGAAGCCCGAAGGGGATTCCAAGGAAGCCTGCCCAGGCAGATCTGCTCGACCTACACCAAGCCAGCTCACATGATTCTCGGCCTCCTGAATCGAAGAGTGCGCGGAAGCTGTCCCGATCTGTTTCCGCATCAGCCGTTGTTCCGGACCATGCCGTTGACGATTTTATCCCAGAACGTCCTGCGAGCATGAAGCCGCGGGCACCTACATCGCCACCTGCTATGTGTCGGAGGAAGTCGTTGGACGATCTTCGGCAGTTTCACGATGCGGTGATTGCGGCCCCCACCTGGGTATCACCCCTCTCACGCCGGAATTCCATGGAGACA